CGGCCCGCGGCCGGCACGTCGTCCCGCGCGACGGGCTGACGTCCGCGCGCCCTCTCCCCGCCGGCCCCGTCCACGGAGGCCTCCTACGGTGGGGTCGGAGGATCGCGCCGCATCGCCAGTGCATCAGCGGTGCATCGTCGATGCATCGTCGATGCATCAGCGGTGCGTCGGCGATGCATCGGCGGCGTATGGCGACGCCAGTGCGGAGCACATCAGTCTACGCAGCGAGCCGCATCAGCGAGCGATGCGGCGCGATCCTGCGACTCCGCCTGCTCGGGCCCAGGCCTTGACTTTTGGGCGCGATTTTTGCATACCAACCTTCAAACAAGCTGGTCTGGCACAAGACTGCGGAGCGGGGATTGTACACAAGAATGGCAGCATCCCCCCGCGGGCTAGAAGCTTGCACACCACCCCTGCAGTACAAGCTGGTCCAGCACTAAACGCGCGCACCAGAGGCGGTGGCCAGAACTCGGCCCTCTGCTCGATCCCCTTCCACATCCTCCTCTGCATCCTCCTCCTCCGCCTCCTGCTTGTCCACCGCGTCCTCCGCCTCCTCCTGCTCTTCCTCCCCCGCCTCCTCCTCCCATTCTCCTCCTCGTCGTCCTCGTCGTCCTCGTCGACGTCGTCGTCGTCGACGTCGTCGTCGTCGTTGTCGTCGTCATTTGATTAGGGCTTGGGGTCAGGTCTGCAGAACCCCTCAAACTGGCGTCAACGGGCGCAACCAACCTGTTCGGTCAAGCTGAAATCGATGCACCACACCTGGCCTCAAGCCACAACTTTAGACATAAGCGAATGGGTGGATTTAGCACATTTTCGTCGGCTGAACCTGCGAGGCGTTTGACCACCTTGACGTCCCCTTTTAGTGGTCATGAAGAGGAAGGCGCTCTCTGACCCTCGGCCCTACTCAAGTCGTCGTCGTCGTCGTCGTCGTCGGCGGCGGCGGCGGCGGCGGCGGCGTCGGCGTCGGCGTCGGCATCATTGTCGTCGTCGTCAGGGCACGGCGGCACCAGCCGTAAGGCCTTCCGCGTCGGCCCCCGAAAGGCTGCGCGGCGAGCGGCCGGGCTGCGGCCGCGCGCCCTCGCCGCGCGGCGCAGGCGCCGCGGGGTCCCGCCGCCGCGCGGCCGCCCGCCCTCGGCGTCGGGGCCCGAGGCCCCTGGATGGCAGACGGGGTCGCCCGAGCGGCAGCTGCCCCGTCGTCTGCGGCGGCCGCGGGCCCGCCGCGCGGGTAAGGTGCCCTCCGAGCGCGCCCGCGCGGCGAGGGCCCGCGGCTTCCTCGCGGCGGGGAGCTCGCCCTCGCCGTGACGTCCGTTCCCCCCGTGCATTTTTTTTTGGGGGGGGGTCGTGCGTGTATTGCTACTGGTCACCAGGCGGGCCAAGAGGCTCCTCGATGGCCTCGTCGAGAGGCGATCACGCGTCCGAGCGATGCCGAGGGAAGCGCGCGCGGGGCTGGCCCGAGACTTGCAGAGGTCGCATCCTTGCTCAAGCCTCCGCGGCGCGCGGTCTGCCTTGATTCGGGCCCCGGGGCCCTCAAGGATCGGTGCGGATCGAACGAGGACCCAGAAATTGAGCAGGGACCGACCTTCCCCGGCATTCCTCGAGGCCTGCCACGAAGTGCTCTTAAAACCCCCAAATGGTCTGAGAACAAAAGCACAGTTCTCACAACGTAAACCTGGTGCGTTCAAGCAAGACAGTCTCAGCTGGAACTGTTCTAAGAACATCCCGTGGAAACCACAACGGGACGCCTCGCAAATGCTTGAAGCAGACGGGGGGTCCTGGTCTGCGGTCGTGACGTTTCGTGGCGCCGCAATGTGCTCGCAGTGCCGGAGCTCCGGGCGGGCCGCTGCCAGGAAGCGAGCCAGGGCAGCGCAGGGCCGCGCCGGGGGCTGCACCCGCGGGTGGGACGGCGCGCGGTCGCTGCCCCTCGCGGTCGCGCGAGATCCGGGCAGTCCAATCTCGGTCGACGCGGGCGCCTTCGCCTGGCTTCGGGCCCTGGGACCATCACGGATCGATCTGGCTCGAAAAACAAAGCTCGGGTCGCGATGTCCTGCGATGCTGCACCGTCGGATCTCAAAGGGCGGGGTACACCAGGGGGGTCGCCACTTCCACGAGAAAGTGTCGCTTCCTCGAGGAAGCGAGGCCCCCAGAGCACTCCAAAGCTCCCCAAACAGGCACCAAGCGTCCAAAAACCTTCTCGGGCCTCGATATCCTGGAACCCCGGATCCTCAGGAGGGACAAGCGCCCCCCCAAGTGGTGACCATCCTCGGCACTGCCCAACCTCTCTTGTCAAACGACTTGGCCGTGGTCTCCTGCCTGGCCCCGCTGCCGTGTCTTTGTCATGGTTCCTGTGCATGCTCATCGCAGCGCGCTGCCTGCACACCCGGCCCAGCCGGACCCACCCTGAGCCCAAGCTCGGTGCAACCTCGTGCGCAGCCTCGTGGCTCGGACCCATTTGCTCGGGGAGGTCTGCGCGCCATCTGGGGCCCTGGCTTGCCTGGCTAAGGCACGCCTAGGTGCGCCGGCTGACGCCCCCCAGGAACGGGGAGCCTTCCTGGAGGCCAGCCCCTGCGACGGAGGTCCTGGGAGGAGGAGGAAGAGGAGGAGGAGGAGCAGGAGGAGGAGCAGGAGGAGGGGGAGGGGAGGGAGGAGGCAGGAGGGAGGAGGGAGGAGGGAGGAGACCGGGTCCTCTGAGGTCCTCGGGAGGCCTCCAGGGATTCCTGGGGAGGCCTCGAGCCCTCTGGGGTCAACTTTTTCCGCAGGCTGGATTCCTATGAGAGGAGGAGGAGGAGGAGGAGGAGGAGGAGGAGGAGGAGGAGGATGAGGAGGAATTGCAACGCCTGTGCCTGGAGGGCCCCTGTTGCTCCTCGCATAACGGGGCGGGCAGCGATACCCTGTTCCTCCAGCCTCATCGTCGTCGCCCTCCTCTGGCAGAAGGGGGGAGGCCGAGAGGAGGACGGGTGCTACGAAGTGCAGCACGCACTCCGCCGAAAAAACAACAAGCCCTGGAAAAGCCCTGGAAAATAGAAACCGCAACCCATCAAGACGGGCCGGGTGAGGTGGAAGTCTCAGTGTAACCCTGAACGAGCTCAGAATTAGACGGAGACAAGTAGGCCCCGTCTTGGCATGGAGGCCTCTTCGCAACAGGTCAGTCGTCCTCTACGACATGACGGGCGACTCATCCTCCCGATGCCAACTCGTCATCGTGGTCGTCCTCCTCCTCCAGGGGGAGGGTGGGTGGAGGGGGGCGAAGAGCTAGAAGCAAGGGCTTCGGCCGCAAGACGCCTCAACAAGAAGCCCAGAGTAGATCCAAGACTCTCGATGGGCTCAGCCTGGCGAAGTTCCCCAGAAACCCGCGGAGGACCAGGAGCATGGACAGACTGCGGTACTCGGTTTGAGGACCAGAGCTGGCCCTCAGCAGTGTTGTTCGTTTTCGTGCTGTTTTAACTTTCCCTCGTTTTACGTCGTCCAACCTTTACGAAAGAGCTGGATTTAGACTGACACGGTCAAGAAATCTCCAAACACACAATTACGGTCGAGCCCTGCTGAGAACAACAGAGCTCCCACAACAAATCTCTCTGAGCCCACGAGGCCTGCAGCCGAGCCGGCCTGCTGGGGCACCCTGGCGCCTGTGCTTAGCAGAAAAACGCGATAAACATAAACTTGTGGCGCTCCGCGCGGATTGCTTGGATCTGCGCCGGACCCCCCTCCTTGGCGCGCAAAGCTCGCCAGGGACGGCACCGGAGGCGCCGCCGGGGGGGCCCAGCGCGGATCCAAGAAATCCGCGCGGAGCGCCAAAAGTTAATGTTTATGGCATTTTTTCTTCTTCGATACGCAGCATCTTCGGGTGCGCCTTGTCTGTCCTCCAGACGGCAATCTTCTCTTGCATCCGACACGGATTCGACGCTGGCCGCGGCGCGATGGGACACACAGCAGGTACCCCCGATATGCATCATAACGCTCTTCGCCAAGGTTGGGCCGAGCAGGCGAATGTGCCGACGATCTCGGAGGCACGGCGCGGCGGGCGCCGGGCCGATCGGGGGCCTTGGTCTCTATGGCTCGGGATCCTTATCATGGGGGCGCCACGTCGAAAGTTCCGCGACTGCATGTATGTCTGATTCATGCGGGACGCGCACCCCAGCACAGGGCTGAGGATCGATTGTGAGGAGGTGGATGCGCTGCATCTCGCTGTGGGATGTGACTTTTATCGGGGAGACGTAAGACTCGGTTTCGGGGAACTCGGGTTGGCCAAGACGGGGCCATCATGAAATGACGTGACCCAATCTGAAAATTGACGCGAATTCCCGCTGCAGCAGACATCCCACGAAAACTGGACCGTCAAAATCCGGAACGCGCTCGTCAAAAAGCGTTGGCAAACCCGAGTTATGGCGTACCCGAGTCTTACGTTTCCCCGATTCCTTGAGAATTTCCTGGGTCGGCGCTGGCAAGAACGCCCCCCCAGGCGTCGGAGCGCGCAAAGGATTTTGACACTGCGCCGATCGTTCAACCTTGCATCGATCGCGGCCCCGATCGTTCAAAATGAAATTCCGTCGGGTTCAGTGCCGTTACCGCGTCCTTCGATGCCACCGCGTCGCAAAATTCAACCTTGAACGCCTTCGCCGGCGTCGCTGGCGCACCAACGCCGAAGGAGCTACGTAATCGCAAATGGGGGGTGCAGCGAGGGCGGGAGAGAAGGAGAGAAGGGGCCCTTGAGGGCCTCTGAAGGGGCCCCTTGGGGCCCAAACGGGGGCCGTAAGGGCCCACGAAGTGCAACTCATTCATTCGCGCCCCAGTTATCACGGCAGTCGCCCCCGACTAATTGACTGATGGTTCGCTCGCTCATCCTCCTCGCTGTTCACCCCCGCCACATCCCTCTCCTCGCGCTCCTTCCGCGGCCGCGCTGCTCCTCCTCCTCCTCCTCCTCCTCCTCCTCCTCCTCCTCCTCATCGTTCTCTTCTACTTTTTCTTATCCTCCTCCTCCTCCTCCTCCTCCTCCTCCTCCCCGTCCTCCTCCTCGTCCTCCGCCCTACTGCTCCCCGTGAATTCGCGCTCACTGCATCGATGCAGAAGCCCTCCCGGCAGCGTACGGGCACTCTCTTGGTGCTCGTGCGCGCGGTGCGCGCCGCCCCTCCCTGGGGCGGCGAGGCAAAACGCTCGCCGTCGGGGGGCGAGAAGCAACGGGCCTCCCGCGCGATGACGAGGCGACCTCACGCCGTGGCTTGCGCGGCCTGCCAGCGCGGCCCGCCACGGACGAGAAGAGGGCGCGCACGCGCGCCTTCACGCGCAAGCTCGCTCGCGAATGCCCGCGCCATCGGCCCCGATTGCCCCCGCCGCTCACAGAAGGGGACGGAGGAGGAGGAAACGATGCCGTAGTTACTTCCAGGCTGCTTTCCCCCTTGGATGGTTATCGTGTTGATGCTGACCTGCCAGTGATATATGTGAGACACTCGTTCTACCATGTGCCCGCGGCCCGCTTGCCCCTGTCAACGTTGCTTCTGTTGTTTCTAGTGGGCGAGCAGGGGAGAATATTGGTGAATGAGCGAAGGGGGAGAAGATGGGAGCCGAAGAGGAGGAGGGAATGACTAGGAAGATGGATGGCACGGATGAAGAGGGCGAGGGTGATGAGGACGAGGAGTGCAGATGAGGAAGGAGCACGAGGAGGAAAGGACCGGAGGAACAGACTGACGAGGAAGAATGGGGGACAATAGCGAAGGAGGGGCAGAAAGCGAGACGCGGAGGTAAGGAAGCAAGGAGCGGAGGTGAAGAGAAATGCGGAGGCGGGGAGAGGACAACAGTGAAGGAGCGCGAAGATATTGCAGGCGAGGGGGGGCACGCCAGGAATATCCGCGGGCCGCCCTGGGAGCGCCAGGCTACGAGGCGTGCTCCCGGACGGTTGCCTTGCGTGTGTGGGCGTGGTGTTTGTCTATGACTGTGTTGTCTCTTGTCTCCCCCACCCTGCCTCCATTCTACCGTCTACGAGCCCACCCCAAGACAAACACAAGAACAAGTAATCCCAAACACAAATACACACTCCCCCGACCCCACTCCCGCCCAGCTCGAGTCGGCGATCGGTTCGAAACGCAGTCCTCGTCGCCCCCTCGCCGCCCCTTCCCCCCGCCTTGTTCACGGTGGGCCAACTGGCGCCAGGACCGCCCAGCGCGCCCGCGCGCGCCCCGGCCCCCGCGCGGCCTCTGCATCGCACCTCTCCCCTGCTTGTCCCAACCCCCCTCTCACCTTTTCATGCCCCTCTCTTCCATTGTCTACCCTCTTGTTCAACATTTGCCTCTCGTCGGATACTGGGAATGTGCTTTCCGTGACTCCTTGGCCCTGCCCTCCTCTTCTAAGTCTCCACCTTGTTCCTTCCCCCTTGTTCTTCCTGTTTTCTTCTCCATCCACCTCCCCCTCCGTCCCGTATCTGTCCAAAGCACGGTGCCTCGGCTGGGGCTCCCTCTGCGGCGCCATCCGCGTGAGGGGTGCCGAATTGTCTCTCGGACGTCCCAGGAGTGCATCAAAGTGCTTGTAGTCCAAGTCCTTTGTGTGCTGGGTCCGCGCGAGGGGCGTGGCGACTTGCGGCGATGCGGCATCCAGACATGATGATTGGGACGACTGCTGGATCGTCCTTTGGAGCGCGATCCGCGCTCGGGGCGTTCGAACAACCTGTCGCCTTCCGTGCGGCTCCGATCGTGGTTAGGCGCGCGTTCCAGAAGGTCTCTTCGCTTGGAATGCCAGGGTGCCAAGAGCGCCGCTGCGACGACGGCCGAACTTTCAAACGCCAGAGCGCGAGCGGAGATTGCGGCTACTGATGGGCCGCGTGGCATGAATAACAAACCGTTGTCACGCTTGTGCTCGTAGTTTTTTTCGCAATCGGCCGTTGCGTTGGCCTCTGATTGTTTTGCTGTTTCGCTGGATGTCTTTTTTTTGCCGTTGCCCACCGTTCGCTCGGGGCGACGCGGGGGATTGTTCAGTCAGATTGTTCGGCCGCGTGGCCCTCAGGCCCACATCAACATCACGGCCATTGTCCAACAAACCTCTTAGCTCTCCAAAAGATGGTGGAGTCCAAAACCGAATGGGCAGGGCGCGCAAAGGACGCGCAGAGGCCTCTCGACGAAGCCCCGGGAGCTTCGGAAGTCCATTTCCGAAGGAGCTCGCGGAGAGCTTCCCAGCATACGCATTGAGTATCGTTGAACCGATCCCCTAGATGGGGATATGGGTCGTTCCCTTGGGATTTCGAAAGGTGTATCCCCAACTGGGGTGGTAATTTGGTGGGGGTCTCGAAGGGGATGGGGATGGGGAAGGGGGTCGGTTACGATACCGACGAATTGGGGAACGCTCAGAAAAAGCCTGCAGGGGCCCGTTCTCGGCTCGCACAGGGCGCTGCGACGCTGGAAAACGGACGCCTGAACGAGCTCCGAGCTGTCCTTCGGCCCCAACTTCTAATCTGACTCGTGGACTCCACTTGTAGCGTTCAAAACCCGGATAGCGGCCCAGTCAAGGGTAGGAAATGCCTTTGGAAGACCGTTGCAAGGCCCCTGGAAAGCATGCCTGGAGCGCTTGGAAGCTCGAGAAAGGAGCTTGGCAAAAAACCCCAACAAACTTCGAAAACGCAGCGGAAAAAAAAGGCTTCCGGCCGGAACGAGCACTGCCGGTTCAAGCAGGGCGCTGTAGGGATGCCTGACCGAGAACTTCGGAGAGGAACTGGCGTAGGCCTGCATGCTGGCTCCTTATCTAACAACCCTCTTGGGTCTCCAAGGAGATATGTAGGAAAAACCAGGAGACCATTGAAAGGGCGCTGGGAACAACTCCTGTGGGGCTTGTGAGCTCGAGAAATGATCTTCGCAAGACCTCCCAAGGACCTTCGAAGAAGCTGCGAAAAGGCTTCCGACGCGCGTGAAAGAAACAAATAGGATGTCGCTTTCGGGACCTGCTGCTGACTCAAGCAGGGCGCTGTAGGGATGCCTGGTCGGAAGCCTTGGAGAGGAGCTGGCGCGGCCTGGCCTGCCAAATTCTGCTCTGACAACACGCTTAGCCCTCCAAGGAGCCATCCGGGAGAAACCCGGACACCCTGCGCCGGAGATTCCCACCCGAAGCTGGAACGAGTTCTGGGGATATCCTGCGGCTCGGGCTTCTTTACGTGAAACCCTCTTAGCCCTCTACCAGCTATCCGGGAACAACCCTAGCCCCACAGCTCCCCGAGGGGGTATTTGGGAAGAGCCCGGATAGCACAGCGCGAGAAGTCTCGAGCGCGAAAGATGCCCGTACCCTTACCTGGGCAGGGTGGCAAGGGGCCTGGGGGGCGGTTCGTCGCAGCTGACGGCGGCTGCACAACTGTAGAAACGACAGCCGATCGAGCATTACACACCGCTGTCTTCTCGGGGCGCACGTTAGCACCGATCGCACGTGCGTTCGAATCGGCGGAGTGCCCGACCCTGCGGCGGTTGTTGTCGATGTAGACCAGCTACTGCGGAGGCGCGCCCCCAGACACACATCCGGACGTTGAGGAGTCAACGCGCACTCGGGGACGCATGCGAACAACTCTGGCGCGAACGTCACTGCGCGACAACAGCCCTATCGCGAATTGCTCGACGCAGAAACATCGCGAATCTGTGCCCTGGGCGAGGTCGCCAGAAGCCGCCCCCCTTGACGGCCGTCTGCGGATCACCCCAGCTAGGTACGGTTGCCCCATGAAAACCCCAAAAACATACCCGTACCCAGCCAAGGCGCCGCAGCTCACCCCAGCTAGGTCCGGGTATGTTTCGGTGGTTTCAGGCAGGTCCCCGTGCCTAGCCGAGGTGGCGGCAGGCCCAAAACTTGCCCAAAACGCTCTCGAACACATATCATGCCCTCCAGAGCCGCCCCCGACGTGGCCGCAGCGGCCCCCTGGGGGGCGCGACATTGCAACGTCGTTACCCACTGCAGGCCCAGACGCATTGGTTGCCAGGATAGCGAGGAAATGCAACTCTTTATCGATTGGGACAGGCGCCACCACATATGGGCGGCTTTGAACCGCGCACGCACCACGATGCCCCGAGACGTCCCTAACAAAAACCAGCGCTTGTCGCTGCAATCAGACACCCAGCCATCGAGCGCGCCGTTGCGTCTTGACGCGCGGACGCTGCACTGGCGCGCGCGGGGCAAGCTGACCGGGCACAATAGCAAGCGCCCAGTCCCCCGGACGGCCCATCTCACCTCGGCTGGCCCGGGGCACGGGTATCTTTCGGACCAATGAAGAAGGGCGTGCGAAGCCCTCCTGGATAACTCTGGAAGGTCCTGGAAAGAGCTTCCGAAAAAACTTCTGGAGGGTTTCCGCGCAGACGAACTAGGAAACGCTTAGACAAGGCCTCTCGGGACGCGCAGCGAATTCCCGCAGTCCGCGCCACGGTTTTCATGGAAGCCAGAACGAGCTCCGACGTTACCCTGCGGGTCCAGCCTCTGAATCTGACGCCCTCGTAGCTCTCGACAAACTATCCGCGAATAGCGGGGCGCCGGACGGGGGGGCGCGAGTCCGAAGGATTTCTTTCGTTCAACGTTCCAAAGCCGAGACCAAACCGTCGCGCTGGTCCGCGCGCCCCGCTGAGGGGGTTTGAAGAACGGCGCCAGCGCGTGAGAGTTGTTCGATCAATGGCCCGAAAGAACTCCGACTAATTGTTCGAAACCGAGTGATGGACAAACGACTCCGTTGATTCGGTTTCCATCGATGGTTCGAAGCAGATCTCGACGTTACAGTATTCCGCGATGCGAGACCCTGTGTGGTTATTTTCCCTGGATTTCGACATGCGCGCGCGACGGCGCTCGCGCGCGCACTTCGTCACTTTCGTTGCCAGAGTCGCTTACAATCTGAGGATTTTTGATCGACGAATACGCTCGCAGATAACTCGTCGTTTATTATGCGCCGCATTCTTATTATTGGTATGCTTTGTCGTAGTATTATTTGATATTTCTTCTTAGAAGTAGTCTTCATCTGGACATTCATGTTAATATTCATTATATTCGCATTAGAAGTGTTATTCTTATTGTTCTTAATAGTATTCCTGTTATTCGTCGTCCTCCGCCTCCTCCTCCCCCTCCGCCTCCTCCTCCGCCTCCTCCTAATCTTCCTGCTCCTCCTCCTTTTCATCCCCCTTCCCCTCCCTCCCTCCCGCACTCACTCAGTCCTCCCTCCTTCCTCCTTACTCCTCCCTCCCCCCTCCTCTTCCTCCTCCCTCCTCCTTGTCCTCCTCCTCCTCCTCCTCCTCCCGCCTCCCTCCTCCCTCCTCCCTTCTCCCTCCTCCTCCTCCTCCCTCCTCCTTCCTCCTCCTCCTCCTCCTCCTCCCCTGGGATGTTACGAATTCATACTCAAGATGGACGATGGGACAGAGTGGTGTGTAAATTGCAATACGAAAAAGGGTGCCGACAATCCCGGGGGGGGGATTGCGATGAATGCTTGGCGTCGGGCGGTGCATTTCTGCGGCCGCGCTAGACGAGCTCGCCCCAAGACGTTTCAATGGTAGCACGTGTCTGGCCCAGTTTCTGCAAGGCGAACAGGCCACATTTAAAGGTTACCCTTTGTTTCGCAGCAGCAGCTTCAATGCCCCAGCCACAGCGGCAGCTCGACTGTGTCTCCGTATCGCACACTTCCCTCAACTCCTGGTGGGGACTCGTCGCAAACCAACTTGCGACTCCTCCTGGCAGCATGCGCACCTGTGGAGCACGCTGCTCGACCTACCCCTCACCGTTCTTTCCTGTTTACGGTCGGTTGCTGAAATAGCGTCGCTGCCAGCGCGACATTGCCGTGTTGTCCTTGGAGTTGGACAACAGCCACGGGGCATGCCACCTGCGCGCGCGCTGATAGGCTACGAATACGAGGCAATCGGCACGTCCAAGCATCACTGAAGCCGATTGCGCTTCACACCACGCTGAAAAATGACGTTGTGGGCCACGATTACATGAACAGATTTGTGCGCATGCTCCCTGTGGTCCGGTACTTCTATGACTGCGCCACTTCTAAACAGGCGGCACCTCCGGTGGCACCCCTGGATGCGGATGGAGTCGTTGCTGACCGCAGAGCCCCCGCTCGTGCACGTGCCCGTCACGCACCCGTCACGAAGGAGCTCATCTCAAGAAGCCAGTATTCTCGGTGGCCCACCCGAAGGATATCGTACAGATCGCACCGCCACGCAACAGACGGAAGAAGAAGGAATGTACATGCTGGATTCTGCACAGATTCCAAGGGGAGCTGGATTGCTCATGGGCTTAGTCAAGCGGAGATCGGTTTCTCTCTTGGACCAACAACCTCGCGATAACTGGATATCTTTGCCTGCCGCAGTGCGCGCGCCTGTGCGGGCGTGCTGAGCAGATGGAACTAAAGAATATTCTGGTGGGTTCTTACAATGTGGGTTCTCTCAACCTTTGTAGCTTACCCTGCGCTGCGAGGCCCCGTGGCAACAGGATGAAGCCTTGGTTTCAAAGGGACCAGGAATCGGCATCAAAAATATGATCCTTAGCGCGGCTAAGGCAGACTGCCTAGCTTTGAGCGCATTTGTGTGTACTAGTGCGCGTTACTCCATTTCCCCTGGGCAATTGTAAGTACTGGCCAGGTGGTGCGAACAGGGTCCTAGGTCGGTCATGTTGGATGTCCTGACGCTGCCTCTGGGGTGGGACTCCACGTGCACTGGGAGCGCCACGCAAACGCTTAAAAAAAAAGCCAAGCTGACGGCTTACCGCCAGCGCCCAGTTGGACTGCGCTGCTATCCGGGTCTCGGGCGCCACAAGTTGTACCTCGTAAAGCTCTTCGAGAGCTCGAGGGAGCTCCCGCCGTAGCCATTTTGGCTCAATGGAGATCTACGATGTTCCCGGCGGTGACCAGGGTCGATGATGATGATGATGATGATGATGGTGGTGATGATGATGATGATGATGATGATGATGATGATGACGATGACGATGACGATGACGATGGTGGTGGTTGTGGTGATGATGATGGGCCTTCCCTAAGACAATTGTCCATTTCGAGTCGTTTGTTCGACGGGCCCGCGGCTGCCGTAAATGGCCCAGACCAGCCCTCGTTGTTGTGCCCCGTCAACGCAAGGATCTCTGGAAAGCAAGAACCAACGACAACGACGATCCCCAGAGCCACTCATGGGGTGCGCTCTGGCCAGAATCTCAGGGCCGATGGCCGATCCGGCCGTGCCCACGAAGGCGCCAAGACCTGGAACCTCGATCCTCTCCACTCGGCCCTTGATCATCAAGCCTCTGGCCTTGATCGACGACTACTCGATCCAAGAACCTCCGACCTCGATCCTCGGCCATCGAGCCTCGAACCTGGAGCCTCGATCGACAAACAACGGCCGCAATCGATCGATCGATAGACAACGACGACAACGACAACGACGGAAACGACGACGACAAGGTAGGCGCCTCACGCGGTGCGGAAGGGCCACGGCGTCGTCTCCGGCGCACGGGGGGGGGGGCAGGCGGGGAGAGCGCCGAGGAGAAGCAGGAAGGAGGAGAAGCAGGGAGGAGGAGGAGGAGGAGGAGGAGGAGGAGGTGGGCTTGAGCTTGAAAGCAAACAGGAAGGCGAGGGGCAGGATGAGCAGCGGGACGAGGAGCAGGCGGAGGGGGGGCGGGGAGCAAGAAGAACAAACCGAAGTACAAGAGCCGCCAGAGGGGAGCCGGATCCCTAGGCAAACGGGTCCTGGATGTGGTGTTGCCGTTTTTGGGCTCTGGGAGCGACCCGGCATGAAGAGCTAGTCCCGGGCGGGAGCCCCACGATCCAGGTCAGGACCCGTTTCATTCAAAGATTTGTCGGAGCTTCCCCCGATTCGCGTCGTCACCCCCAGTCGTCGTCGTCGTCGTCGTCGTCGTCGTCGTCGTCGTCGTCGTCGTCGTCGTCGTCGCGTCGTCGTCGTCGTTATCGTCGGCGTTCCTCTACACCGCATGGGCTAAGTCTGCGGCCTGCCAGGTGGTGCCACTGATCAGTGCCAACGGCCATGTAATGCCCGGTCGCTTCACGCCCTTCTGCCGATGCACCTCTGACGTGCACGGCTTGTCCTTCTCTCCGCAGACATCCTTCGATGTCTTTTTCCATCCGCGGTTCCGGATCGTGGATCTCCAGACCCATCAATCGAGACCGGGGTCAGTCGGGCCTTGCAGGATCCCGCAGGATCCTGCACCCAAGCCTGGGTCAGTGCGCGCCTGGCCCTGCAGGATCCTGCACGATCCGGCGCCCTGACTGACCCTCGTTTGCGCTGACCCCTGTCTCTTGAGCCCCGACAGAACAGCCCGACCCCTCTCTCTTAGGGCATTTTTGCGCCCCAACCACCTGGTTCTGGCGCCCGGTGGCGGGCCCCGGTATCGAAGAGAACTACCGGGATGGAACAGAAACTCGTCGTCGGATGTCTGGGTCTCTCCCTCTCTCTCTCTCTCTCTCTCGCCGTCTGCGTTGCTCCGTAGGACTTGGGAAGAGCGTGCGTTCGCATTCCCACATCGACGTCGCCCCAACTTTAAGTCGGGCCTGTCCCCCTACAGGGGGAGTTTGGTAGTTTTTTTGTTTTTTATATCAAAAACTCAGGAAATACCCCCAAATATTCAAAAATAGTCAAAACATCGTCCATAGACGATTCTTGGACTACTTTTGAATGTGCCCCCTGTAGAGGCACACGCCCGACTTAACCCCATCCCTCCCCACCACCCTCCTCCGGCGGCAGGCGGCGGAAGGCCGGCGGACATGAAACGGGGCCGACACCGCCAGCGGAAGGCGGCAGAAGTCGGGCAGTGGGGAAGCGTCCGGGCCAGCCTACAGGCTCGCCAAAGAAAACTCTACGAATCCCCTCCTGCCTCCCTGGGGACCTCGAGGACTCGTGCGTGGGCGTCGCGGAAAGGGGGTGGGGCATGGAGGGGGCTCCTCCTCCTCCCCGTCCTCCTCCTCCTCCTCCTCCTCCTCCTCCTCCTCTTCCTTCTCCCCCTATTCCTTCTCCTCCTCCTCCTCCTCATCCTGCTCCTACTCCTGCTCCTGCTCCTGCTCCTGCTCCTGCTACTCTTCCTCCTCCTTCCCCTCCTCCTTGTCGTCGTCGTCGTGCTCCTCCTCCTCCTCCTCCTCCTCCTCCTCCCCCTTCCCCCTTCTCCTTTTTCTGCTACTCCTCCTCCTCCTTCTCCGTGGCCATTGTGGCTCAAGACCAAGTGGCGATTACATCTCATCTTCAGCGGGGTAGGCTCCCTTCCAGAGACCCTTCATTCTTCTTGCAGCAACCTAAAGGGCGAGCTGCCGCCAAATTCCATGTTCACTCCTCCTCGCCCAGCCTGTGTCATGTCGGGCGGCGCCAATGGCGGCAAGGGCGTCTGTCGCGCAGCAGGTGCAGGCGGCAAAGGCGACAAAGGCGGCAACAAAGGTCACGGCAAGAGGCCCAAAATCGACCTGGCCAAATGGTATAAGGTCTGCAACCAGTTCCGCTACCGCTGGACGTGGAAGGGCAAGTCGGACTGGTTCCACTGCGGCAAGCCCCTCGCGCCGACGCCTGGAGAATACTGACAGCCTGCAGGCGCGCGGGCGGGCGAGGCTCCGCCATGGCGGCAGCAGCAGCATAATAAGGCCCTCACGACGGACCAGGTTCTCGAATCGCTGGCCAATCTCCTCGGCGACGACGGATCCGAGAAGCAGCTGCTCGCTCCTCTGCAAGCAACGCTCAAGCCTGCACCTCCGCCCGCCGCCACCAAGTCGGAGGAGCAAGCGGTGCAGCCCAGGTCCCGCCTCGACAAGCTCGTCGAGAATTTCGCGTCGAGGATGTCTCGCCAAGCTCGAGGAGCAGCAGCAGCAGCAGGCGGCGCTCGAGCTCGTCAAGGCGAAGGTCGAGTGCTCCAAGGCACAAGAGGCGGTCAAGGCCTCTCGGTCTACGACGAAGAGACCCGCGAGCAGATGGAGGCGTGGAAGGCAGACCTCGACTACCGCGTCCACGCGCTCCACGAGGGGCAGGAGCGGGTTCGGGAGATCCTGCGCCAGACGAAGAAGACCGAGGCCAGCCCCAACTGATCGAGCCACCGTGGTCATGGTAATCATAAGCTCTGGGATTTCGAAAAACGGCCCTGGATTTAGAACATCCGTTTTTGAATTTAGTAAACCGGTCTTTGTGTCTGAATGAAGTCTTGTTTTTTCTTTTTGATAAGGCGGCGCAATTTAATACAACCGTTTCTCGCTTAGTGAATCATCGATGTTTCAACCATTCGTTTTAAGAATCCACGTTCATTAAATTACCAAGACCTATGTTAGCCGGTGACCAACAAGCACAAGCGCAGGATGGCCCCAGACGGTGAAGCAGAAACACGGTCCGACGGCGGACAGGACACTGCCGACGACGACGGGGCGGTCTCTGCTGCCCCACCCGCAGCCCCAGCCACCCCCAGCGTCTCCGGGCGGCGCCGCGCGCGGCGGCGAAACCCCGAGTCCACGGCCACCGCCGGGCCCTCCGGAGCGGACGAGCAGCAGACCGCCGCCAAGCTCGTCCGCGCAGCTGCCGAGGCCCTCCGGCAGGCGCGCACTGCCGCTCAGGGTGGCGGCGATGGCGGTGCGAAGCTTCCTGGCGCTGGCGCCCCTGGGCCTCCCGCATGGCGACTTCAGCCAGCCGCGCACCAAGGAGGACGTGGAGCCCTCCATCGTCTTCGGCAACGTCGCCGAGTGGGGGCCGCCAGCCGCGGCCTTCGTGAGGGGCGAGGGCAAGCGCTATGGCATGATCGCGCTCGCTGACGCGCGCGCCGGCGGGCAACCTTCTTGGGGCGACCGACGGGCCCGCTGGCGGCAAATGGGTGGAAGGTCGCAGCGACGCCGGCGGTCGCCGCCCACAAATCCAAGGGGGGTACGCATGGAAGCGAGTGGGCCCTGGCAAGACGGGACCACGCTGCCACATCCTTCGAGGCGTACCGCAGCTACTACATCGGCAAGTACAGGAGGCAACCCCTCGTCGGTTTCTCGCCGCGCGTGCAGCACAACGCGAACGGCAATCTGGCGGTGATCGCGGCCTGCCTGCGGCCTGGGCCCCGCGGTCAGGGGGCCTACCGCGACGTCCTGATGGGCCTCGCCACGTTCCTGGACTTGGTGCAGGACCCATGGCTGGCGCTGGCGGGCTGGAACTACGGTGGGAGACTCCAACACCATCATGCCGGCTGTTGCCGAAAGGCGTTAGTCGACGCTAGTCAACACTAATCGACGCGAAATCGACGCTGATTGGAGGCTGACCGACGACCGATGCTAACCGACGCTAAATCAGTGAGGGTTTACCAGGCTTCCGAGAGGGAGCGGGGGGCGTAGTCTGAGCAGTCGGCCGAGGCTCCGGCCACCGTTAATTTCTCGGGAAAAAGACACCTCCCCAGATTCATCCTCTTGCTCCTCCTCTTTCTCCTTTTCCTTCTCCTGCTCCTCCTCCTCTTCCTCCTCCTTCTCTTCCTCCCCCTCCTCCTCCTCCTCCTCACCCTCTTCCTCCTCTTCCTCCTCCCCATCGTCCTCCTCCCCTATCGTCCTCCTCCCCATCGCCGCCTCCTCCGCACCCTCGCCTTGCTCCTCCCCGCAGCCCTGCTCCGTCGCCGCGGGCAGGCGGGGCCTGGCTCTTGGTCGTTCGCGCGCTCGGGCTCGCGATGGAGGTCGCGTTCACGGCGTCCACGGCCTTCGCGCGGGCGGGGGAGAGAAGAGGAAAGGTGGGGAAGGAGGAGAAGGGAGGAGGATGAGAAGGGAGGAGGAGTGAGGAGGAGGGAGGCGAAGGGAGGAGGATGAGAAGGGAAGAGAAGGGAGGAAGGAGGAAGGAGGAGGAGGAGGGAAGAGGGAGGAGGAGGATGGATGAAATGGAAAGATGGGGAGGGAAGAGGAGGACGGAGGGGCAACCCGGAGTTTCATGGTGTGGTTGGCAGGTTATTCTGCCCCTGCCGGCGATCAGTGGGCGATTGGGGGTCGATGCATCCCCCGTAAGCCTATGTCCCCTCTAAGCGATCCTCGTCGTCTGACTTTCGGGTCGTGCTCGCCCCGCCGGCGGCCGATCGGAACAACCTGGGCAGCCCCTGACGCCCTTCGACGAGGCGCAGCTGCTGGAGAGCACCCCGAGGCTGGAAGGCCCCCGAGAACCCGCACATATGCCTACAAGCCGATCCCCATCCAGGAAATGGTCGTCAGGGGTTCCTCCTCCCCCTCCTCCTCATCCTCCTCCTCCTCCTCCTCCTCCTCGCCCTCTTCCTCCTCCTCCTCTTCCTCTTCCTCCTCCTCCTCCTCTTCTTCTTCCTTTTCTTATTTTTTTTTTTCGCCTTCTTCTTCGTCTTCTTATATCCTTATTATCCTTATTATTATTCCTCCTTTTCCTCTCCTCCTTTCCTCCTCTCTTACCTCCCTCTCCTCCTCCTCCTCCTCCTCCCTCCTCCTCCCCCTCCCCTCCTCCTCCTCCTCTCCTCCTCTCCTCCTCCTCCTCCTCCTCATCTCCTCCTCCTCCTCCTCCTCCTCCTCCTCCTCCTCCTCCTCCTCCTCCTCCTCTTCGTCCTGCTACTCCACGTCCTCCACCTCCTTCCCCCCGTCCAACTCATGGTGGTGGTGGTGGAAAGCAGGCCCATCAGGCTATGGGTATGGGTGCGGGCTGCCGGACCCCAGGGGAAGCTCACGTTAGAGCGGGGTCCCCATCCGACAACACACGCCCATGGCCCCCTGCGCCCCCCCCCCCCGGTGGGTGAATGTGTGTCCGTTCGTCAGACAACGCGCGTTCGCGCCAACGTGTGCTAGTCCACCAAGGCCCGTCAGTACGACGCATGCGGTGTAACGATGGCGGACACAAGCTGCGTGCTGACACGTCGGGCCAAGGGACAATCGCTGCAGAAACAACTTTTGGGCGGCTCGCGCGGATTACTGAAATCCGCGCAGAAGTTCCCCTCCCTGGCGCGCGGGGCGCGCCAACGTGGCGCCCGAGGCGCTACCCTTGGGGGTTCAACACAAGGCCACGACATCCGCGCGGAACCAAGAAACAAAAAGTTGTGTTTGCTTTACAATATACGGGTGCATTTGATTCCCCATACGCTAAGCTGTTTGGTGCTCATTAGTTCTTGGACGCCGCCGACTCCAGAGAACGCGAACACACCCAGAACATAGGCTTACCCATGCACAGACTTATTCATACTCAGACTTACTCAGGCCCGAACGTACCCATACACAGACGTATCCAGACCCAAACGTATTCATACACAAACTTGTCCATACACAAACTTACTCATACCCAGGCTTACTCGCACGCAGACCTACTCATACCCTGACGTACACACATACTTATGTATACGCATACCCATACTCAGAGTCACTCATACCCAGACGTACGCATACACAGACTTACTCATACCTAGACCTACACATACTCAAGCCCTCTCATCGTCTGAGTTGCTCAACGCACGGAGGATTTCGAGGATGTCTCCGGCGGGGCGCTGGCTTCAGCACCCCAAAGGGGGGCCGCCAAGGGGTATATCACGGGCCCGTTCGCGGCAAGTGTGTGGGGATGTCTCAGGCGGCGTGCGTGTTTCGGTGCCCAACACCGTCTGCGCCTACAGCAGATTTAAATGATGTCTCAAGCGGGGCGCTGGTTCCAGCACTCATAATGGGAGCCGCCAGGGGGTATATATCACGGGCCCGTTCGTGGCCAATGTGTGGGGATGTCTCAAGCGGGTTGCCTGTTTCGGTGCCCAACATCCTCTGCGATTACAGCGGGCTTGGAGGATGCCGCAGTCGGGGCGCTTGTTTCAGCACTCCTAAAGAGAGCCGCCAGGGGGTATATCACGGGCCCGTTCGCGGCCAGTGTGTGGGAATGTCCCAGGCGGTTTTGCCTGTCTCGGTGCCCAATGCCGTCTGCGAGTGCAAAAGATTTGGAGGATGTGTCAGTCGGGGCGCTGGTTCCCGAAAGTCTGTGTAGTGCCTATTCCATGCCACTAACAGAGGCCCAGCGTGGACGGCGCTGGCGTTGACACGTTTGAACTCTCTCTGGGCGTTCCCTTAGCGAGGAGTCCCTTGCCCACGCCAGCGTTAAGAAGCCCAGCGTGGACGGCGCTGGCGTTGGCATTTGCAAACCAATGTTGCGCCCGAGGTGAAGACCCGATACCAAGTGCGGACGGTAAAGCCGAGGTGCAGGTCGCGAGGTGCCGTTTGAAGCGCTTGCCATTCGCACTCCCCCATGGTGCTTCGGACGCGGCGCCAAGGGAATTCTTTACCTTGACAAAAAAGATGCGCGGGCATATGCATGTGAATGAATGCATGCATGTGGTGGATGTGCAGCCGCGCTGCGCGCACACGTGCTCGTCGCTCACATGGGCGCGCTCGTAGAGCAAACAACTATCATAGACAAATGCTCACCGTGGCACTATCCTACAACATGACATGCACATATGGCCATATATGGCTAAGCGCTCGTTTTACAAATCCCACTGCCGACTATCCTAAACCAGATACACACTCGAGGCGATCCGAGGCAAACGCGGGCTGAGGTGGGCACGGCCTGGCAGCTGAGGAGGAGGAGTGAGGAGGAAGAGGCTCATATTCAATCATACTCAAAGCTCATTCTGACTCGTACTCACTCGCTGGCATGAGGGTCCACTTGTCTTCGTGGGGCCTGTCGCCCACATGGGCGCGCTCTTATAGTCAGACACTCATGAACAGACGCTCGCGACGGCATAAGATAAAACATAAGATGCCCATATGGGGAACTCCACGCAATGAATAATTGTGGTCGTCGTGCTTTCTTAGTGCTACTAACCCGTGAAGGTCTTAAACCCCCTCTCAATCCTGCGCCAGCTTAATCACGCGGTGGGACCCAAACGATACTGAGAAAATCATGGTTCCCCCGCGGCGGCCACCGCTGACCACCCGGGAATGACAGTCCCTGGTGGTGATGAAGAGGATGGTGATGATGCTGTTGATGATGAAGATGATGATACTAATGATGATCATGCTGATGCGGATGATGATGACGATGATAATGATGCTGAGGAGGATGATGGTGATGGTGATGGTGATGGTGATGATGATGCTGATGCTGACAATTATGATGATGCTGCTGATGATAATGATGATGCTGCTGATGATGATGATGATGATGATGAGAGAAGGACGGTCGAGGGGAAGAACGAAGACAATCGCCAGCCGAGAGCTTGATTGGGGGACTCCTGAATGCTTCATCGACCCTACCTGGTTAATCTGACTATGTCTGGTTTGCTCTTATCTATGCTCTCTTGGCACTTAACGTATTACCCTTACTGCTTGTGGTCGTCACGTGTGCCTGCGTTCTCATATTGCTACTACATGAGCTGCTTTCCATAATTCGACGACGCGCGAACTGCGTGCACCCCCTGTTGATACTATGTACTACTTCTCCTGCGGAAAGTTAGCACACCTCTACTGATTACTCCAAGACGCCGCGAGTATGCGTGCACCCCTGGGTGTACCAATATCCAATTATGCTTCTGCTTTCTGGATGCCCGAAATGGGCACGGAAAACATGGGTACGATGCCCAACAGCAAATCGTGTCCAAAACCTGCAACAACCACTGTTGAACATGCAACCTCCTGCCTCAGACGGACACGGCCCGCGGCGGCACAGGCAGCGAATCTTGTTCAGAATGGACAGCGGCTTGCTGTCGGTCTTTGCACTCTCTTTTCCCATACCCATCTCGATCGTACCGATGCTTCTGCTGCCCCACCCCACCACTGCTGTGCACTCGACGACGACGCGAACAGGCGTGCACCCCTGGGTGTACCAAGGATCAACCTCTGCCTCTGCTACTGCCGCACCCAATACAGAACAAACGTCCCTCAAGAACACACGACCCTCCGCAGGCCGAAACAATGAAGGGGAACTGGGACACACAAATAAATGCACACAAATAAAAATATTCCCTATATTTTCCTATATTTTCCCATATTTTCTGGGAATCGCCGATTAATTGTGTCTGTGTGTTTTTTTCCCCTCCTGAAACAAACAGAGAGCATCCACAAGGGTGCCCTCCACGGGGTGGGCATGAACGCAACAGAAACACGAACAGCCCTGGGGTGCCCCCCCCCTCCCCGAGCCGACGACCACGACGACGACGACCACGATACGATAACCATCACCACCAACACGGCCATCGACCACGAAGACGACGACGAGGAGAAAGAAGGCGAGGACGACGACGAGGACGGCGACGACGACGACGACAACGCTCGCGACGACGCTCGCGAAACGCGCGGCGCCTTCTCCTCCGAGGCCGGCCGCCGCAGCGCGGCCGGCCAGCGGAGCCGCGCCGCGGGCAGCCTGCTGCTCGCCCCGGGCGCCGGCGGCGTGGGCGCGCCTGGCGCGGGCCAGCGGGGCCCGCGGCCTCGGCCTCGGCCTCCCGGATGGGGTCCGAGTCTCGCCGTCGCTCGGACGTCCATTTCCCGTGCATGTTTCGGCTTCGTGCTCCGAGCAGAGGGGGGCCGGAGGATCGCGCCGCATCGCCGATGCATCGCCGATGTGTCGGCGATGCATCGGCGCCGTCCGCGTGGAGAGAACTCGGCTCCGCATCGGGCCGCATCGCCGATGCATCGGCGATGCGGAACGATCCTCTGGCCCCACCTGCTCGGACCCCATCAGGGAGCCCACGAGCCAGGGGGCCAGGGACACGCAGACGAGTACACCAAAGAAAAGACCTCGTCAGCGGATGGCTTGATGGATCGCGGGGTCGATAAGGACAGCGGTCAGGAGATCGACCGGGAGCTCAGGAACCGGAGCCCACCGAAACTGGCCCCGAACGAACAACCAAGAATCTGGGAGCCCGGAGCCGGGAACCCGGGAACCCAGCCGGCCACCAAAACCGGCGGGACACATTCGCCAAATCTTCAAATTTCCGCTAGAGATGCGTCGAATTCTTCAGAAACCGCAGATTTGTGAAGCACTCTACGTAGCTGTCGGGGCACGGCCAATCTAACGGCGACGTTGGCCAACGGCGTTGAGAATATGTTGTTTTTTTCCCGGCGCCAAACTCGCGCAAAACGAGGTGCAATAAATCACGAACCACGCGTTTCTGCATTTCGAACACGCGAATGTATCGAGCTAAGGCGACACGGAGAATTATTCCAAGCCGCGAGTCACGCTTTCCTGCAGTTGGGTTCGCAACGAGCCAAGCCCACACACAACACCACCGTTGCCTACATCGCCGTTAGCGTGTCTCTTGCAAAGGTCGGATCAAATGACGAGGATCCTTGGAAGGGGAAAGGCTCGCAAGGGGATTTTTGGGAATGCGCTCTGATTCGCCGGGGAGACGGTCAGCATGGTGCGGCACTCACTAGCCGCTGGCAGAAACACGCGGTATCTAGCAGCACGGGCGCCAAGGTTTGGTGAAACTCCCCGCCTCCGTCACCTAGCCCGCGCCACCCCTATATCGTCGGAAGGCGCACGCAAGGGGACGTTGGGAGGTCAAGGCGGCGTATGTGCTGCCTCTCGGGGCCTTTCCGGCCTCGGGGTGCTCTCCCGCCGCTGCGCCTCGCCGGAGGGAGTTCCGGCCTGCCCAGACTGTTCCGGACGGCCACCGGTGGGGCGAGTCACGGCCCGAAATCCAGACGACGAGCATCTCCTGCAGGGGGTAGGCTCAACGGGGGGCGCATGGAGCCCCAGTCACCCACTGATCGCCGACAGGGGCTCCATACGCCGACTCCAGTCCAAGGTATCCGAGGTATCCCCCCTTGAGCTAGATACCCCCTATCACTAAATCGGGCATGTCCCCCTACAGGCAGATTTTCGATGACAAAATTTAAAAAGATGCAAGAACTAATCGAAAATACTGGAAAAATCATCCCCAGCCTATATGTTTAACTATTTTTGAATTTCCCTCCTGTAGAGAGACGTGCCCGAGTTAACCTTTATCCTTATAACCTTTTATCCGTGCCCCATTAACCTTTACCGTTATCATATTCCTCCTCCTCCTCCTCCTCCTCCTCCTCCACTCCGCCAACGACGACGACGGTCTCGACGACGACGACGACGACGACGGCGACGACAACGACAACGACAACGACCTCGATGACGACGACGGCGGCCCTGACGACGGGGCGGACCCGGCCAGGGCCACGAGGGCGCCCCCAGCCTGGACCCCCCGACACAAATGCCCCGAAAGCGCCCAATTCTGCCATCCGACGATGTGGGCGACGAGAAAACCACTGATCTTTCGCGAGATGTATGTTGTTCCCATCGTACTTAAAGACCACGTCCCAGAAATAATTTCGAGCACCCGGAAACGTGTCGAAACAGTGTCGAAACAATGTCGAAAGAGTGCCCGTCACGTGAAAACCTTCGAATCTCGGAACTTGTTTGGTACTCGAAATTTCTTTCTGGTGGTCCAGGCTAAAGTAGATTAGAACATCATAACGCGAGATGACATAGCGACCTCACGTTGCGTTTCACGTTGGCCGCCAGCGCGGCACACCGCGAGGAGAAGAGGGCGCTCACGCGCGTCCTCACTCACGCGGGCAGCCGACGCGCCCGTGTCGGCGAGGACGATTCCGTTTTGCTGCGTCGGTCATGTGCGGTTTTGATCGATCCGCGGCCCCGGGTATCCCGACCTCTTCCCTGCACGGGGGCACGTGTTCCAACCCGGTCCATGCGTGATGGCCTGGGCACCGGGCCCCACTCGCCGAAACTGGAGGACAAACGCCGGGATTCAAAGAAATCGCATCGTCGGGGGTCTCGGAACCTCCATCCCGAGCTCGACGATGACGACGACAGATACGACGTCGACGACTCCGACGCATACGACAACGCCGACGCCGATGCCGACGACGAAACCGACGCCGACGCCAACATCGACGACGACGACAAAGATGGCGGCGACGACGACGACGACAAGGATGGCGGCGACGACGACGACGACAACGGCCACCACGACCGCGACGACGACGACGACGCTGAGATCCGACGTCACGAAACAGTTGCGCCATCGGGAGAAATTGCGTCTGGACCCCGAAGACCCCATCGTTCTGCACCATGTTTCAAGTAGGGGGCCGACTGCAGAATTGATTTACCCCAGAATTTAAAAATCTATTTACTCGTCCAACCAATTAATGCGAACACGCGTAGAATAATCAATACATCTACGGATCAGTGTAGGTATGTATCGTAGGTTCGACGGGAAATCAATGTTGGGTTAAGCCTACTGTGTAATCGAACCCTTACTCGAATCTTCCGAACATCGACCGTGACGACAAAAGAACGCAAACGCCAGGACCTCCGGGGCCGAGAGGCCGAAACCATCCGTGCGCCTCCGGCTATATGTACTTCACGACGCGATGGGTCTGGCCGAACGCCGAAGATGCCGACGACGACGACGACGACGGCGACGACGACCCTAGGAACGAAGACGTCGACGAGGACGACGAAGACGGCGACGATTACGACGAAGACGACGAAGACGATGACTGTTTTTTAATACCAGTTGCGCAACGCAGGTGCAAGCCTGGCCGCTTAATCACTCACTCATCACAATTCAGGGAAAGCCATCCCAGACTTAGGGGGCAATCCTCGTGCAATACGCTGTAGCACATCCTTGCCCATTCGTGTGGGCCGCTCACAAGACTTCAACAATTTGCGAGCCTGCTCCACACATACGGCACCACAACGAGAACAGTACAAAATGCCACGGGAAACCTCGAGAGTATGAGACGGGTGCATATCTCCAGCCCTCGGGTGCGCAAGTGCACCACGCTGTGCAAGAGGGGGATCAGCATTCAAGGGAACCCGAGGGTCGGTAAACAACCGAGTGAACGGGGCCGTCTCACCTCTGGGTTTACATTCACATGGCCAAAATTCATCAAGCATTCCACGCAAGGAAAAAGTGCGAGCACAGCGGGTGCACCATGCTACCCGAGTTCGCACCTGCGGGTCATGGCCAGCCTCTCTCAATCGACCGACACGAACCTCCAACGACGACACGACGCTTCTCTTCCTCCCCCCCTGAGGCAGGCCCGTCCGCGGTGCCTGGCGGGGGGCGCCGTGAAGCCACCTCCCTTTGGATGGCCAACAGACGGCCGATCACCTGTCGGGCGAGGAAGTCGGCGGCCTCTGTGGCCTGGACCTGCTCAGGGGGGAGGGAGTGAGAGAGGGCAGCCTTGGCAGCAAAAAAGTAAGCTGCCTGATTCGCATATAATTCACCGGGACGCAATCCAAGGTTATCAATCTGGTTCTGGGTGGGGTGGGCCTTGGTCCAATGGAGGGTCACAACACCAGGCCTACGGGAGAGCTCCTCATGGACCAATGTCCACAGGACTAACATGGCTGACTTCTTTTTAGCACGCAAGGGGCGGCGGAAACCACGGCACACAGGGAGGCAATCACAATAAACAGTCACATCCCCAGTAGTGCGGGCCAGGAGCTGGTAGAAAGCATACAACTCAGCACGGACAGAGCTCTGTTTAGCCGTAGGTAATGTTCGACGTGCAATAGAGTCCAGGCCACCATCAGGCCCTCGACGAACCATAGACCACCCGCACCTCCTTAGTCTCCAGTCCTTAGTATGTTCACTCCCCGATCCGCGAATCCCCCCCGCACCCCCTCGGACCCGATCCCCCTTGCAACAGCGACCCCAGGTCCAGGAGAGGTCGAGGGGAGGGGCGAGGTGGCCAACAGAAATGGGGGGGGCATCGAACCCCTAAGCCAAAGACAGGAAAGGCGTTCTTCAGACACCGCACACTCCTTAAACCGATCGGTTTGATGGATGATCTGATCAGGGATGTCTGAGTTGCATGGGCACTGCCAGAAGCGGTGCAGCGGCGTCTCCTTAGCAGTGCCACAACGTCCGCAGAGGCCCCGAGTACTGGACTCATATCCAGCGTCCACCAATCGAGATTCAGTCCAGTACGCAACTGGAGCGATATTACGAATGATGGCAGCAGCATCCGACTCACCATTCCTTGATTTGGTTTTCAGGACTCTCTGCAACACAGTAAAATCAACTCCTTCCTGGACCCCATCCCCAAGGTAGTGATCAGAAGCACGTTCCCAAGACATTGCTTGACAACAGTCAAGCAGGGCCTCCCAACAAGCATGGGGAAAAACAGTGTCGGTAATACGGAGCTCACGATCAGGAGCACCGCATTTCTGCCAAAAAACTGTGGATGAAAGCCGCCACGACAAGTCCATGAGCACCGCAATCGTAGCAGCGATGGGGCATTTGTCCCGTCTCCAGCGGTGGCCGCCTGGCAGCAACGAGAAAATCTGCACCATCTTACCCCGCGCCTGAGCAACACTATGACGCTGGCGGTGGGACAGTGATTCCCATATCTGGGCAAACGACATCAGTTGCTCGCGGCGAAACCTGAATTC